AAGATAGATATATGTGAGTTAAGAATAAAAGAATAAAGTTAAAAAATGGCATCAGTTTCCAAGACTATGTCTTAATCAATTATAGCATTTGTTCTTTTAGCATTAAAAGGGAGGATTCAAATTTATTTAGGCAATATTGATATTCTGAATAACTTTTATTTTTAAATGTTAGTTATCCTGAAAATATTAGACTTACCTATTAATAAGCAGAATGAAATAATATTATTAATTTTCCATCAATAATTATTATAAATTAACCATCAACTGATTATTACTTTTTTTAATTATTTTATAATATTATTAATATCTGTACTAAATTGATATGTTCTACTATAAGAAAATTATTATATTATAAGAAAATAATTATTCAGTAAATATCCTATTGATATATAAAATAAGATGAATAATAAGATTAAGAAAGATAATAAAAGTTAATACCTCCATTTATATTTATTTACATATATACTTTAACTCTTCTATTAGACTAATTATTTTAGATTCATCAATATGAAAATTCTTTATTATCTAATTATTATTATTCTTCTCTATAATATAATTTTTATATTATCTCATATATTCTTATGGATTTAACTTTTGTGTTTTTGTATAGAGGTATTTTTTAAATATTGAAGTCTTTTTATTATCTAATACAGATGTAAAGCCAATTAATGGATAAAAGTTTAAAATTGATATCAAATATGTGAAGACGATTAATTTATTAGAAATCTTAGAAAGAATGACTAACAATCAATTTGCATAGCAAAGCGGCCTAATTCATACAATAGTGGATTTACTAATAAAGATAGAGGAGAGAAATATTTGGTAAAGGTGTATTCTATTAAAAACACTAACAAAAACGGATAATAATGATAAATCTTATTTTTACAAATGATGTTTATTCAGTGTTTCGTCTTTCTACCTCCCTAGAGCATTCCTAATTCATCTTGAAAATGATAAAGAATATGAAAGGAAAGAATGAACCAATATTAGAAAATAATATATAATCACATATTTATTTTATATTTTAGAAATTTTTTAGTTTTGTTTAGGACATGAAAATTTTAAATATTTATGTATATTAATATAGTGTTAATTTTCCTTTTCTCATTCTTAACTTTACTTTTAAATCTGTTTAATTTTAATAATTTCTAATCCATAATAATTGATATCCTCTTTTTTTTCTAATTTTCTTCAATTTTTAAACTATGAATACGATTCTATTATCACAACTAACCCATCTCTCTCAAAGGAAATATCGGATGCTTTCATCTAATTTCAACAATTTCAATCTGAATATTAAGTTCTTTATTCTTATAATAAATCTAATTTTATTAAATAAGGATTCTTTTCTTATTCGATGTTTTCAACTAAGAAAATCCTTTAAGCATTATTGGGATTATTGGGAATAGGTAGAGAAAATTTTTTACCAGCTTTTATTCAAATTTGCTTACATAACTGGATTTATTTCTTCTATATTCATTTAAGCCTGAGGAAAACTAGAAGGAATTAAAAATTTAATCTAAAAATTCATAATTATCATCATACTTTGAATTGTAGGTTTCTTGTTTTAATTTAGATAATTCATATTATAATCTTGAATGATAATTATATAATAAAAATTCTTAATCTAATAGCCTAACGATAAGAGACATTGCCTTAAATCCAATATTCATCTGAAATTATTCTATAAGAAACTAAGGAGATTAATCCTCCAATTAAATTTGGTTGTAAATATAT